CACACAGCAAGGGAGCCCCATGTCTCGGCCTGCATAAGTCAGTCAGGTGAGCTGGATCTGGGAGAGCATCATGGAAGGTCAGAGAAAGCATCCTCCAGAACCCGATGTGCGCTCTTCCCTCTCCTCGCAACTGGCACTCCCCGGTCACTAAGGACTGTTCATGTTTGTTTCTGAGGAACCAGGGTGACACTCAGCTAATACACTCTTTTAGGAATCTAATGTTTGTGGACTACTGCTGTGTGCCTCTCTGCTCTGGGGGCGGGGGAGAGAGCAAAACAGACCAAGATCCAGCCAGTCCCTCCCGAACCTTCCACCCCCAGCAGGGAGAGGCAGAGAGGATACACAGGACACACCATAGCAAAAGAATCCATTTCCCCCAACATGCTCAAGGGGCAGGCATGCTGCGGGAAAAGAAAGCGAGAAAGGAGGTGCCCGGCGGGTTTGTGGAGGAGCAGGAGTCGTGCAAGGTTATGCTGAACAGAGGCTTGGAGAGGGCGAGGGGACAGGCTGAGTGGAAACCTGGGAGAAGAGTTTCCCAGACTGGAGAACCAATTGGGGGATGGCGGTAGGGGACAGGCAAGGCACCTGGGGGGCTTGACGGGCCACAAGGGGGCCCACCGAGGTGGAGCAGTGAGCAGATAGGCAGGGGGCAGAGTGAGGTTGGGCCACTGAATGGCCATTGCGTCCCATGGGCCTGGCCCACTTGGCTTCCTCTCTGCACCAGCCAACACCATGCTGGGGTGGCAGGGGGCAGCAGTGACACAGCCTGATGCTTTTCACCTTATATTTAAATGTTAGCACTGCACTGTAGCACTGTCCTCCCGTTTTTCATTTATTTGCTTGAGCGGGCACCAGTAATGTCTCCATTGTGAGACTTGTTGTTACTGTGTTTGGCATATTGAATATGCCACGGGTAGCTTGCCAGGCTCTGTCGTGTGGGTGGGATACTCTCGGTAGCTTGCCAGGCTTTCCAAGAGAGACGGAGGAATCGAACCCGGTTGACCGTGTGCAAGGCAAACACCCTACCTGCTGTGCTGGAGTGATAGCACAGCGGGTATTTAAATGTTAGTCTGTCATTTTGTGAATGGCTTGTAGTGGGCAGGGAGAGAAGGGGGGGGGGCGTGGTGGCTGCTGACACGTGGTGTTGATGGAGGGGACAGTGGAGGAGGGGCTGAAGAACCCTCAGCTCCTGGGCAGAGTTTGAAGGTTGGGGCAGGATTTCCCAGCTCTGAGAGAGGCCCAGCTGTCTCCCCTGCTTGGGGCTGCTATCAGGCGAGCTGGGACTGCAGGGGTTTCGGGGGAGTAGCATCGATAACCTGAAGAACCAGAATTGGGAGTAGTTTAGAGCAACCAGAGGTTGCAGTGAAGGTGGGGGAGGCTGGGAGGAGGAGCGGGGAGGAGGGGAGGGGAAGCTTCAGTGTTCCAGAGGGATGGAGAATCTTTCAGTGATCTTGCGCCTTCTAGTGGACAAGTGGATTCCTCAGCCTCTGAATGCTCCCTCGGCTGTCAGAAGTATACTCTCCATCATAGTCTATTTGGGCTTTGTTTCCTTTGGTGGTAAACGAGAATCAATCATCACGCCGTTCACGTTATACCCACGGCGAGTGGGAAAATATGAACAGATGCAGACTGACTTACCATACTGAGCGGTTAGTGGAAGGTTGACAGTTAAACCCCTATTTCGCTGCGTAATTGTTACCATCACGTAATCATCACCCCCTGTTTATTTTATAATTAATTTTCTTACTGCAGTTTAACATGATTACAATAGTGTTAACGTTTATGGTTTTGGTCTACGAAGTTACTACTCCTTCAACACCTCTGAAGTCCCGAAGACCCTCCGCCCCTAATCCACTATTTTTTGTTGTTTCAGTTTCTTGGCTGGGCTGGAGTGATAGTACAGTGGGTAGGGCATTTGCCTTGCACGCGGCCAACCTCGGCGACCTGGGTTCAATTCCTCCACCCCTCTCGGAGACCCTGGCAAGTTACCGAGAGTATCTCGCCCGCATGGCAAAGCCTGGTCAGCTCCCCATGACATATTCGATATGCCAAACACAGTAACAACAAGTCTCACAATGGAGATGTTACTGGGCCCGCTCGAGCAAATCGATGAACAACGGGAGGACAGTGCTACATTGCTAGTTTCTTGACCACACCTGGTAGTGCACAGAGGTTACTCCTGGCTCTGCACTCAGGAATTACTCCTGGCAGTGCTCAGGGACCATATGCTCAGGGACCATATGCGATGCCAGGAATTGACTCCTGGTCAGCTTTGTGCAATGGAAATGCCCTCCCCGCTGTGCTATTTCTCTGGCGTCTCTTGTCCACTCTTTACCACTGATAAGAGTAAATTTATGGAAAAGTAAAATTACGGAAAAGTAAATGTGAGTGGGCTCCTTGATGGACTTTCCGGGTCTAACAGCTGAATAACCAGCTCCCAGATGAAGTGAAACTTGACCAGTGCCCCAGAATATCCTCATTCATGCTTCTTCTGTTTCCTGTCCCTTCCCATAACCTCTCTTGTAGCTCTCTCTCCCTTAACTTTGGATGCTAAGTAGGAAATGGTTCATTTTGGTAGTGTCTGGCCTTGGTAATCGTCTGTCTTTGAACTTCTTATAAAAGTAAATAACTCAACATGCACTGTCTTTCCAGAACCTACTGTTTTGGCTGTGGGCCATCCACTTGCTGTGCGGTGCTCATTCTCGTTGTTGTTGAGTATTCCATTGTGTGGGCGCACCACAGTTTGCTTATCTGTTCTGCTCTCGGGGGCCATGTGGGGAGGATTCGTTTTGTGGCCACAGTGCATCGTGCTGCAGTAGATATTCTTGTTACTTGTCTTTCGCACCGCACAAGTCTGCATTACTGTGACTATAGAGCAGGGAGTAGAATTCTTGTGGCATGTGAAATATTCAGCATCAATCAACATGGCTACCTGTTTTTCAGAAGTGTGTGTGTCTGGATACAGCCCCCCTCCGCGTGTTTGAGAATTCTGAGTGTTCTACAGCCTTGCCAGTATTTGATCCTGTCCGCTTCCCTTTTAACTGAGCCCTTCCCCTTTAAATGAGCCTTTCTTTGGTAGTGGTGTCTGTTGTGGTTTTCACCACATTTCTTTATTTTTAAATCTTTTGGTTCTGGGGTCACGGGAGGTGGTGCTGGAGGTCACTACAGGGACCATATGTTTGGGTACTACTTGGGAGGATTCGGTGACCATATACTGGGGAATCAAACTGGGGAATGCACTGGGAAAGACTGGGAAATATACTGGGGAATCAGAGATTAACCACTTTAATCCCTGCACTCTTTACAGTCTATCTTACATTCCTGTTAAAAAATTGTTTCATAGTTTTATAGTTCAATTTTTTTAAATCATCTTAGAAATGTTTTCTTGGGACTAGAGAGATAGTACGGTGGGGCGGGACCTTGCCTTGCATATGGCTAACTTGGGTTTTATCCCCAGAACATCATATGGTACCTGGAGCACCACCAGGAATTATCCCTGAGCACAGAGCCTGGAGTAAGCCCTGAACACAACTAGGTGTGACCCAGAACAAAACAAAAGGAAGTGGCTTTTCCACTGCAAGCATCATTCTCAATGGGGAGAAAGTAAAAGCCTTCCCTCTAAGATCAGGGACAAGACAAGGTTGCCCACTTTTGCCACTTCTATTCAGTATAGTACTGGAAGTTCTCACCGTAGCAGTTAGGCAAGAAAAAGATATCAAGGGCATACAGATAGGAAAGGAAGAGGTCAAGCTATCACTATTTGCGAATGATATGGTACTATATTTAGAAAATCTTAAAAAGACTCTACAAAAAAGCTCCTAGAAACATTACGTTTATACAGTAAAGTGGCAGGCTACAAAATCAACACCTGAAAGCCCATGGCTTTCCTATATACAAATAATGAAAGAGAAGAAAGAGATATTAAAAAAAACAATTCCAATAATGCCTCAGAAAATCAAGTACCTCGGAATGACCTTAACTACCCTCCCTCCTCCCTCCATCCCCTTTTGGGTATTATGGTTTACTTGTACCATTTCTAAGAATAAACTTACGTATTTATTCTTTGAATATATAAAACTATGTATTTGTTTATTTTCAATTCATTTGGCTTTAACTGGCAGTGTTTAGGGCCTCCTACTTAGGGAGCCCCCTAGTGTTCAGGGTTGCTTCTGGCTGGTGGTGCTCAGGGGCCGCATATGCTGGAGAGTGAAGCCAGGCTCCTGCCTGCATAGACTGCTCTCCAGCTCACCAAGCCATCCCCGACCTACAAACTTGAACTTCGAAATAACATTCACTACGAATAAATTCAGCCATACGAGGGGCAATTTAACAGGTAAGGGATTTTGCCAGCTGTAGCATTTTTTCTGGTTTGGGATTTGTTTCCTGATTTTTTTCTTTTCTTTTCTTTTTTTTTGTTGGAAGTGTTTTAAGTATGGATTAGCATTTAGAGCAAAATATCTATGCTGTAGAAAAGACGTTGATCGTTATTTAATAATTTGGCTCCAGATTTCACGAACATGTTCTTCTTTTTCCCTTTTATATACGAGAGTGCCCTTCTCCAGCTTTTGCAATTGCACCATTTTGTCTATGCAGACCTTCCTTTGAAGCCAGCCCCGGGCCAAACAGTGGGACAGCCACTGCACATTAGCCTCCGAGCTTAGGACAAGCATCTCTGTCACCTTCTTACCCTCATCACTGTAGCGGTGGAAGGGCTGGACTAGAGGAAGGAAGTGGGTTGAGGTCTGGCTTTTTCACTTACTGCCCAAGATCTTGGGGGATGATTCATTTAAATTAAACATTTTGAACTTTAGTTTCCTGAGCTGAACAATCAGAACATAACAGTCATTTTTGCAAGGCCATTCTTTGAATGGCGAGTAGCAAGAAAGAATGTGGACTAAATGCCCAGAAGCCGGGCGTTTAGTGATACTTGTTTTTGAGTTAGAGTGGTAACTCTGGTTTGCTTGGTGTCTGACTACATGCTGCTTTATTTTTCCTTCCAGGGTGGACAACTTCGGCTTGGGCCTTTTACTTAAATCCAGGCAGATAAAGCGCATGGTCTCTTCATACGTGGGAGAAAACGCAGAATTCGAACGCCAGTATTTAGCTGGTGAATTAGAAGTGGAGCTGACACCTCAGGTTGGAAAAATTTCTCGGCTTTTCTTTTTCCTGTGCTAATTTGTTTTATTATTTTTCTTTTGTTGAATCACTGTGAGATAGACCCTTACAAACCTGTTCAGTCATACAGTGAGTGTTCCAACACCTGTCCCTCCACCAGTGTACATTTCCCACCACCAGTGTCCCCAGTTTCTCTCCCAGCACCTCCTCCCCCAAAAGCCTGCCTCTATGACAGGCACTTTCTCTCTCTATCTCTGTCTCTGTCTCTCTCCTTTTGGGCACTGTGGTTTCCAATACAGATACTGAGAGGTTATCATGTTATCTGTTTCCAGCATGAGGCTCTTATCCAGAGTGATAATTTCCAACTATCTTTGTCATAGTGATCTTTAGCTCTCTAGTGCAAAGAGGTCCCCAAGGGGGGAAAAGTACAATTTAAAATAAGTCAGCAAAGAGTGGTAAAGAAATGGCATTTCTTTGTGCCAGAGGACAAAGGCAGAGAGGATACTCTTGCTAAAGTAAGGGATTTTGTCCAGCACACCTGTTGGTTTAATCTCTTAGGATTAATACGTGGTGGATGTTAATTTTTTTTTCTGTCATTTGCATCCTGCAAAAGGAAACATTTCCACTACAGACACCAGAGGATACAGAATAAAATTTCAGGCTTGGCCCTGGTGTATCTTGTGCTGAAACCATGCTATTTTAAGTGAGGATTGACCTAAAGGTCAGTCCCTGTGAACCATGGGGTTAAAAATTTGTGAATGAAACAGTCCTGCAGTCCTACTGAGACTTCTCTGAGGACTGATGTACTGAGGGTCAGGGCGCAGCTGGCTGGGGAGCTGATGTCATTTTGAAGCAAACAGTTATTGCAGTGGATTTGAGTGTGAATCGAGTCATTTTCTACAAAGGCTCCTAATTACTGGAAGCCTCAGTCACAGAGGAGTCTCTTTGATGCCTTTGAGTCCAAGGAAACAGGGGTGTGCATTGGCCTGCCATTCTGATGTGCTTGCAGACTCTGCTTCATTTCTGCCAGCCAGAAAGACTCTACGCCGACCTCATCCAGTGGGTGGCAGTGTAATGGAGCAGAAGCAAACTGTTTTCCCAGAGTTAAATCACAGTTTATATACTTGTCTCCAGAGAGCGGGCCCCCGAGGGATAACCTGGATCCCACGTGATTCCGCTGCAGTACAGATGTGGCCAAGCAGTGCTCGGGGCATGGTATTTGTCCAGTTTCTACCTAAAATTGCTTTGAAAGTGGAAGCACTATTGCTTTCGTCTGCTCGTGCTGCTGGACACAATGCAGACACAGTGCCCAAGCAACACTGCTTGCTGCCGTTCCTACTCCAGGTGCTGCGGCTGATATGCTTCTTGGCTGGGAAGGAGAGAGAGAGCAGGAGCTTGGGCACGCTTTAATCTCTTGCTCCCAACAAGAATCCTTTTAGGTCAGACCTGCTTTTTTTTTTTTTATTTAATAAAATGAAATTAAAACGAATCACTGTGAGATACAGTTACAAAGCTTTCATGATCAAATTTCAGTCATACAATGATGAAACACACATCCCTTCATCAGTGCACATTTTCCAACACCAATGTCCCCAGTATCCCTTCCGCCACCTCCACCCCATCCCACCCCCTGCCTCTGTGGCAGGCACCTTCCTTCTTACTCTCTCTCTCTCTCTCTCTCTCTCTCTCCACTTTGGGGCATTATTGTGTGCAATACAGATACTGAGAGGCCATCATGTTTGGTCCTTTATCTATTTTCAGCACACATCTCCCATCCTGAGCGATCCCTCCAACCATCATTGACTTAGTAGTCCCTTCTCTATTCCCAGTTGCCCTCTACCTTAATACATGAGGCAGGCTTCCAGGTGTGCACCAATCCTCGCCCTTGTCTGAACTGCCCTTAGGTGTTGGTCTCATATCAAATGAATGCCAGGACCTGCTTTTATGAATTTCTTTCATCTCACTAATGTTTGCAGAGGCCCCGCCCTCCAAATATAGTCACCTGGTAGGTCAGAGATTTGACCAAAGAATTTGGGAAAGATTCCAATTTAGTTCGTTCATATGCTTTCCCTCTTTACATGATTGGCTTGAGATACCTTGCTTTTCGGATTGTAGAAAGTTAACAATCTTTAACCAGGTCTTTTGCATGATAGTTGATTTTGTTAGAGGAGGAACTTCCTTGGTATTTCTTTCTGGGTCACACTCAGGGATGCTCAGGGCCTATTCTTGGCTGTGTGCTCCGGAGTGACCCCTGACTGTGCTCTGTGGACCATATGCAGTGCTGCAGATGAAAGCAGCGTGGGCTTCGTGCAAGGCAAGTGCTGGAGTTCTGGTATATCTCTGACCGCTTCATACTTCTTTCATATAAACCAAACCAGGTCAGTGTCTTGGCCTTGCTTCTCTTGCCCTCCTAAATTAGAGGCGTATCCATCTTGGCTCTGGCAAGCTGTCTTGCACCCTGACCTGACTTTGTGCGAGAGGGGAGTGGATTAGGTGCTGGGGCTCCTATTGTGAAGTACTTGGGATTAGGACTCACATTAGGGCTTGGAGCTGGGAGCTTGCTGGTATTTGCAGAGCATCTATGCGGGCCTACATCCAGGTCTTTGTTCTTTTGGACAGATAGAAGGAATATTTAACAATTTTTTTTTGGATTTTTTTTTTTGGGCCATACTCAGCTGTGCTCAGGGCTTAATCCTGGTTCTGGACTCTGGGATCACTCCTGGTGGGCTCATGAGACCATAGTGTGCCCAGATCGAACTCAAGTCAGGCACCTGCAAGTCTCCTTATTCCATGGATGATCTTTCGGGTCCTCGGGATTCTTTACATGAGAAAATCTTAAAATGCGAGGAATTTGAGTGCTGCCTTTCCCCTGCACTTCCTGATTGCTGCCACCAGCCTGCTGCTGCTTGCCAGACATTTGTCACTTCAGATTTATTACTACAGAATCTACTCCCTGAAATAAAATCTGCAGCACTAGCATTGTTTATCCATTTTACAAATAAGAAATGCAAGGTTCAGAGAAGTTAAACTGTTGACAGACAGCTGACAGCTGAGCCAGGACTCTGATTTCTGTGCACTTGTGAGTTCATAAAATAAAGTGTGGGGGCTGCTGCAGCGACGTGTGTGTGTTCTGTGGCCCAGAGCCACCCCCTCCCCCCATGCTCCCCATATCTCCCCAGCAGAGAGACAGAGAGACCGAGAGACAGAGAGATGGGGAACTGTTGTGAGTGATAAAGCCCTTGCGAGTAGAACTGTCGTCTCTAGATGTTTGTGTTCAAAGGCGTAAGTGAGCTTAATGGGTCTTGCTTGCTCTCCTGCAGGGCACTCTTGCAGAGAGGATTCGTGCAGGTGGGGCTGGAGTGCCCGCGTTCTACACCAGCACCGGGTACGGGACCCTGGTGCAAGAAGGCGGATCCCCAATCAAGTACAACAAAGATGGCAGCATTGCCATTTCCAGTAAGCCAAGAGAGGTAAGAAGCTTTCTCCTCCGCAGAATCCTGGCCTGGCTCATGCAGCACAGTCTTCTGGGGGCACTCCTTGGGAGAGTGAGTAAAATACCCCCTCTACGGGAGAACAAACACTGTCGTTCCTGTACATATGTGTGTTAGGTAAACCTTCTTGCTGACATGGGGCATCTACTAGCAGCTAAGATTATGCAGAAAAACCAGAATAAATAGACGAAGACTCTGTCATTCATATATGACATGAGTTAGTTCAAACTCACTTTGTGGTTGATTTTTAACAAATGTAGGAGCTTTTAGGATGGCTGGTTATGCTTCTGTGGAAGATCGAGCAGATGTATGCTTGAATTATATAGCATTAAATGCTTCAAGCTCAGACCTTTTTGAGATACAATGGAAGAAGGGAAAAAGAAGAATCACATTGGTCTGCAATCTTGAAAGGTCGAAGGCTGCATTACTGCAGTGAAATAAGCCTCATGTTCTCTCCTTCAGGCTTCATTTTATATACTGGACACATGTGAACTTTAGCCCAAGTAACTTAGTTTTGCCTTTTTTCTCTTTTTCTTCTTCTTTTTTTTTTTTTTTGGCTTTTTGGCTTTTTTTTGGCATTGCTCAGGGGTACTCCTGGCTCTGCACTCAGGAATTACCCCTGGCAGTGCTCAGGAGACCATATGGGATTCTGGGAATCGAACCCGGGTTGGCCGCGTGCAAGGCAAACACCCTACCCACTGTGCTATTGCTCCAGCCCCTTAGTTTTGCTTTAAGTGCTGGATGGTATGGAGTACTGAGTAACTTTACTCACGTATCGGAAATAAAACAAAACTTAATTTATTATCTCATTCCCCCCACTCTTTTTTTTTTTTTTTTTTTTTATTTTTCCTGGCCTACACCTAGCTGTGCTCAAGGCTTACTCCTGATTCTGTTCTTACGCATCATTCCTGGCGGGCCTCAGAGGATCCTATCTGTGCCAGGGATTGAACCTGTTTATCTGCATACCAAGCAAGCACCTTAACTCCGACTGTCTTTCTGGCCCTCCTGAAACTGACTTTTAATTAAATTTTATTTTTTAAAGTTTAGACCCCATGACTTACAGTACTATCAATGATGGGATTTCATGCACATGGTGTTGCAACACTCATGTTTTTCCGCTAGAGGCTCCCTTCTATCCTCCTCCACTAAGGTTAAGCTCAGTTATGTAGACCAACTCTTAGGTTCCGTTGCCACTTGCCGGTTGTTATTCCTTTACTATGGGTTTTATTTTTTTTTATATCCCACACCTGAGAGATAATTCTGTCTCTATCCTTATGACTTACTTCACTCAGCATGAAGCTCTCCATATCCATTCACACAGCAGCAAATCTCATGATTTTGTCTTTTCTTGTACCAAGTTATATGTGTGTGTGTGTGTGTGTGTGTGTGTGTGTGTGTGTGTGTGTGTGTATACCACAGTTGCTTTATCCACTCATCTTTTTTTTTTTTTTGCTTTTGCTTTTTGGGTCACACCCGGTGTTGCACAGGGGTTACTCCTGGTTGATGCACTCAGGAATTACTCCTGGTGGTGCTCGGGGGACCATATAGAATGCTAGGAATCGAACCCAGGCTGGCCGTGTGCAAGGCGAACGCCCTACCCGCTGTTCTATTGCTCCAACCCTTATCCACTCATCTTTTCTTGAACACACAGGTTGTTTTTAGGTTTTGGCTGTTGTGAATAGTGCTGGAATGAACAAGAAGCACAAACATCTTTGTAGAAGAGTTTTTTTTGTCCCCTGGGGTAGATGCCAACACTTGGCTGAGCTGGAGTGATGGTGCCGAGGTTATGGTGCTTGCCTTGCACATGGTCAACCCGGGTGCGGTCCCTGACACTGTGTGTGATTCCCTCGAACCCTGCCAGGAGTGATCCCTGAGTGCAGTAAACCCTGAGCCCCCCTCTCACCCCCCAAGTAAAACACCCAAAAATACAAAAAGAAGGGCTGGAATTATAGCATGGCAGGTTAAGACACTTTATTTGCACATAGCCAACCCAGGTTCAATCCAGGTATCCCATATGAACTCCCAAGCACCACCAGGGGTGACTCCTGAGCACAGAGCCAGGAGTACACCCTGAGCATTGCCGAGGTGACTCAAAGCCAAATCAAACCAAGACAAAACAAAAATTCAAAAACACAATAAAAAGAATAAGAACTGCCGGGCCTCATGGAAGCTCAGTTCTTTATTTTTTGAGAAATGTTCATATTGGAAAATAGAACTTTAGATTTAGACATTTGAGATATCCTGATTTGAACTAATTTCAAAAACCTCACAGGTTAGCCGTATGTTGCTATATCATGGGAATCTTCCCCCTCTTCCTGCTCACAATTCGAGAGTGAACACAGGTTGCAGAAATGCCGAGCTTCTGTGTTGGGAGCTGTAATCTCAGCCAGGCAAGGGATCGCTAGGTCTTTCTGCCTGCAAGGATGTTAGCCATGCATGGTCCTGTTCTGAAGGAAGATGAAAAGGTCACTGTCCCTGTTCTCTGCTGTTCACTGTTGGTGCTACAGCCTCTGGGGCATTGCCTTTCTTCTTAGAGCAACCTAAATTGACCCAGCTTTCTCTGTTTTTATTTTTTGTTCTCATTTTTGGCCACATCCACTGATACTCACAGCTGACTCCTGGCTCTGCACCAAGGAATTCATTCCTGGCAGTGCCCAGGGGCCCAAATGGGTTCGAACCTGAGTCACCCGTGTGCAAGGCAAATGCTCTACCCTCTGCATTCTCACCAGTCCTTACCCAGAGCCTTTATTAATGTTTGTCATATTCTTTCCTGCTTCTTTGTTCACTGCCTAATTGGGTTTAAATAGGTTTTAACAAAGTGAAAGACTAAAGCCTAATTATTAAAATTAATCACAGTTAATATAGATAAAGGTGTTCAGAAATAATACTTTGAGAACTTGCTACAGGCTAGAGCAGTTTTCCTTGCCTGGAAAGATATGGGAAAGACTGGACTCGCCCCGAATCTCCTAGGTTCATTTATGCCTGGAGCCAGGTACATGAATCTAATCTTGTCATTTTAATCTGAATTCCCAAGGAAGTTGATAGATTATTTCTTGTTCGTTCTGTGTTCCTTGCAGAAAGAAGTGGCCAGTGAATTTTTCAATTCAATAATATTCATTGAGGAACTGCTATTTGTGGGACATTTCCTCATGATTTGTATTAAGAACCAGGGAAAGCGATGATTCATACCTCCTCCCCACTTTCCCCCTCCCCAATCTCTCTCTTTCTTTCTCTCTCTCTTTCTCTCATCACTCATGCTCACACACACACACACACACACACACACACACACACACACACACGGAGACACTGTGATGTCAGGACTGAAAGTACTGTGATATGTGGGCTAAAGGCAGAGAGAAAGAGCAATGACTAGGGAGATGGCATTCCACATTGGGCCAGAGAAAACCTTTTACATTTGTGATGTTTGATAGGGACCTGGTTAAGAGAAGAGAGCCTGGGGAAATGACTCTAAGTGCTGGAGCACATGCTTTCTTCCTATGTTCTGATGGGAAGGGTGGCTATTGATGTTTTGCATGCTGGATGCCTGGGTTTGATTCCTAGTACTACCTGGTCCCCCAAGCTTGGAGCTAGGAACAGCCGCCAAACAATACAATCAATCAATCAATCACAAATCATCCTGTTAATCGTCGACTGCCTCGAGCAGGCCCCAGTAACGTCTCCGTATCCTAGCCCTGAGATTATATTCAAGGCTCTTTAGGAGAATGAGACCCATCATTGTTACTGGTATTTGGCATATTGGGTACACCACAGGGAGTTTGCCAGACACTGCCGTGTGGGCAGGCTACATTTGGTAGCCTGCCAGTTTGTCCAAAGTAGGAATGAGATAATAAGATGTCATAATAAGATGTTCTGGGAGCTGGTTTTTATAGTCTCTGAGTCTTGGCCGCTGATGGGATTACACGGCGCCAGGGGGCCAGTTGGTGGGTGTGACCCCCGCCTACTGGAATTTGGAGGATCTGGGTGGAGGATGCTCGGCCCAAATCCGAGTAGGCTTGGAGATCTCAGCCCCGGAACCCGCGTGACTGTCCCTCTGCCAGTACCTTCATGTGTGCGGAGAGTGGTCTCAGCATGGTGGTGGCTGGTCCTGGAGGTCTTTGGCTGCCGGAGACCTGGTCGGGGCGGGGAGGAAAGCTCAACTCGCTCCCCTCCAAGGGGTCCCGGCAAGCGAGGACAGTCAGGCGTGGGGGCAGAAGACTGCACTCTTCCGGGATCTGGTTTTTATAGTCTCTGAGTCTTGGCCGCCAAACAAAACTGAAGGAAATACTGTAGAAGTGAGTAAGACAGACCAAGTCCGCAGAGTTCTGCTCTAGCCAGACAGGAGAGGACCCAACTCTGAGCAGGCTGCTTTCGAGGAACGGCAGGGAGTGAGACTGGAACAGAGCCAGCGAGGTTGAGTGGTCACACTGGAGGCCAAGGAGAGGGAGGTGCCAGCTCACAGGAGTTTTGGTCTCACTGAGGTGAGAGGCTGACAGGGTTTTCAGTAGTGCTGGGAGAGGGGTTTGGAAAGATGCCTGTGACTATGGAGTGGAGAATTTTTTCTTTTTTTGGTAGGGGGCTGAAAGAAGCAGCAAGGGAGACTTGAGCCTGTTGTGTTAATCCAGGTGGGACTGGTTGAAGGTGTAGATCAGAAGTCTGTAGACCGTTGGTTGAGTACCACCAGTTTAGACCAACTTCCTCACAGTGGAATTCGTGATAAGTGATGGGATTCCAAGATAGAGCCTGTAGGTTTGCTAAGGAATTGGCTGTGGGGCATAAGGAATCCAGTATGTTGCTAATGAAGTGGTCCTGGCAGGAGGCTGTTCACAATGCTGGGGGGTTGGTGCTTTTGAGAACTCTAAGAGCAGGGGCTCTGGACGCTCAGCTTGGGAGAGTTACATCTGGAGAGGAACTTTGAAGGACCACAGACTATTTTATTTTTTTTCAGTGGAATTCTTTTTTTTTTTTTGTGATGGAATCCAGAGCCTCATTACATGTTGCGCAAATGTTCTGCCAGAGTTGCCTCGTTGGCCCCACTGACTAAGTGAGTGGCTTAGACCTAAGGGCAAATAGGAAACACCTTTTTGATTTGTAATGGTTGGGAGGAGAGGGAGCTGCAAAGGAGAATGAGTAAGAGTGTCTAGGAGTGGTGGAACATGGTGATTTGAAGGATGAAGGGGAATTTTTGTTTGCTTTCGGGTCACACTGACTGGTGTCCAGGGGCCGCGGTGGGGCTATCTGCAGGACTCTTTCCAGTCCCTGAAAGAGCAGGGGCAGGAGAGTGAACAGTGGTGTCTACCTAACGGGAGATGGGATCTGAAACTTGGCCGTTGGCTTTGGAAGCAGGGACATCACTGGCAACATGAAAAAGTAGAGAGGAAAGGAATCTGGCTGGTGTTGGATTCAGGGAAGGAGTGAAGCCCCGGCTCTTGGGGGTGAATGTGAAATAGCGAGTCGGACATAGTACCTTTTATTTGGTGGCCACACCAAGTGGTACTCAGGGCTCACTCCTGGCTCTGCTCTCAGGAATCGCTTTTGCTGGTGCTTCAGGGATCATGGGGGGTGTGGGGAATTGGCCACGTGCAAGGCAAGTCCCCTTTCCACTGTACCTTTTCTCAGGCCCCCATTTCTTGTTTTTAAATTTTCGAATTCCTAGTACTTAGCACCAGCTGGTGTGTAGACCCACTGAGAAATTATAGAATTGGAATAGAGAAAAAAGAAAGCCATAAACAGCAACCTTTGCCCTGGATTAGCGTATATTTAGTGGTTTTTCAGATCTTCATGCAAAATACTCCTCTGTCATCATTGGCGTTTGAATTGCATAAACCTTTTTGTTTTTTAAATAACAGCTTTGTATTGATATGCAGCTTACAAATATCTTTCATGTAGTTTGTCTCAATATATATTTAAGTATCTTCTATCATCAATTACTTACTAGCTTTATTAGTATATATTTGCAGGACAGCGGGTATCTTTTTTGTTTTTGTTTTTTTATTTTTGAGCCACACATGGAGATGCTCAGCAGTTACTCCTGGCGATGCTTGGGGGACCATATCGGGATTGACCTGGATAGGCCATATGCAGAGTAAATGCTCTAACCACTGTGCTATCTCTCCAGCCCTCCCCACCAACACCCTCTCCCACCCCCCCAACCCGGCCCCCCAATTTAATTTTGATGCAATCTCAACTGTTTCCATTGGTTTCTTGTATTTTGTTGGGATGCTGGGGATAGAACCTGGTTAAGTTCTGTGAGGGGAAAATCCTACCTACCAGGATAGCGGGTATCTTTAAAGTGCTTTTCTCTTAGAAAAGAAATCTATTTTATATGCCCCAGTTCCAAAACTTTGTGGAATCTTTCTAGGAAAAGCAGGCAGTGTATCGCTAGGGGGCGCAGTGGGATCGTGGAATGAGCTTTGCTTTCCCGTAACTTCCATCCTGTGTGCTGATGGGAGGGTGGCTATTGATGTTTTCTCTCTTTGCTTTAATTCCAAAAGCTAAATCCTCTAAGCGAAAGAGGGACAAGCTGCCATGGCATAGAATTGCTTTATGTTTCCTCCTCTACCCCAACTTCATGGTAGAATGAAAAAGCAATAAACATGCCAAGATAAAAATTATCTCTTTAGAAAGCCTGCATAGATAAATTAAATAAAAGAGATCAATGTATGATGGTGAATAGAAACTAGACTTTTAGCCATGAGCATAATGTATGTGCAGGGGGTGATATATAGATCTTTGCTTAGAAAACTGATGTTCAAATCAGTATTACTTATAAAATATGACTATTTTAAATGGAAAAAGCATTTGTATCATACCAGTTATGATAGAAAAGGTAGCACTGCATTGTAGCACTGTTCTCCCATTGTTCACCAATTTGCTCGAGCGGGCACCAGTAATGTCTCCATTGTGAGATTTGTTACTGTTTTTGGCATATCGTATATGTACGGATAGTTTGCCAGGCTTTGCCGGGCTGGCGGGATACTCTCGGTACCTTGCCCGGCTCTCCAAGAGGGGCAGAGGAATTGAGCCTGGGTCGGCTGGGTCAGCTGTTTGCAAGGCAGATGCCCTTTCTGCTTTGCTATCGCTCCAGCCTGACAGAAAAGGTATTAATTGAAAGAGATACAACATCCAACTATCAAGAGAAACCATCAAGTGCCTATGAATAGTCCAATACACAGAATACATGTATTATTTTAAGAGGAAAATTATATTTTTAGATAAATTAAAAAAAGACAGGGTGGGATGGGGGGACAGAGGGTGGGAGGGATACTGGGATCAGTGGTGGTGGAGAATGGGCACTGATGGAGGAATGGGTATTCGATCATTGTATAACTGAAACCCAAGCACAAAAATTTGTAAATCTACAACTGTACCTCATGGTGTTTCACTAATAAAAATCTAAATAAAAAATAAAATAAAAAAGACAACCTTCTGGAATGTGCTAAACTGAAAAATTAATATGGAAAAAATACAGAATGTTCCAAAATGCAGCAAAAACAAAACAAACTTCCCCAAATATAACAAACAAAACAAACAAACTTCCCCAAATATAAGTAAGTGTGTATTATCTCATCATAAGAAAGATTTGGTATGTTAAATTTCTCCCAGTTAACCACCTATTATAGGAATATTCAAATCTCAACAGAAATGACTTCTGGTCACTCATGTAAGTTAATTAAGAGCTATGTTGGGTTTTTGTAACTATTTTTGTATACAGACAATTGGACATTTAGTGCAACTTGCAGAGAGGTATTTCCAGGGTAGAAGGAAAGAGAACCTATTTTTATGTTTGATGTATCAGCTAGAAAGATAGATAGTAAAATGAATACAGCCAAGTATGTTAGTATTTCACAAACTTGCGTTGTATTCCCTGACTCAGACAGGTAGAGGTGTTTTTGTTTGTTTTGTTTTGTTTTCCTTTGCTGGTGATGGTGGTAGATGGCCATACCCAGTGTTGCTCAGGGTTTACTCCTGGCTCTGCTCTCAGGGATTACTTTTGGCAGGTTCCATGGACCATATGGGGTGCCAGGAATCGAAACCATAATGGGTGCATTCAAGGCAAATGCTCTACCTGCTGTCCAATTGCTCCAGCCTGGGACAGATGGAGTTTCTTGGTCCTCAGCTCTCCTAGGCCCACCTTGCTGAGCCATTGCAGATACTGCTACCACTTTCCCCCCTTCTCCAACTCTTGCACTGTCCTGATTGCCTCCCTCTTGCTCTTGGCAACATCTCTGGTGAGATGCATCTGTTTCTGTGAATCCTTCCTTTGCTAGCCTTGTGTCCCTCTATCGGCCTATCTGGCATGCAACTGGACAGAGACCTCACCATGCCCTCTGTCTCTCTCCTGCAGGTGAGGGAGTTTAATGGCCAGAACTACATCTTGGAGGAAGCCATTACTGGGGATTTTGCTTTGGTGAAAGCCTGGAAGGCTGACCGTGGAGGAAACGTGATTTTCAGGTAGGGTGAAGACTTTAGAAACCACTCATGGTACACATCACAGCAACTTTATAGTTGTGAAAATGTGATTACAAATGGATGATCTCATTTGTATGCTGATAAATGTTTTCCTAAAAATGGGTTCAGAGCTGAGCTGGAGAGAGAGAGAGAGAGCCCATCTTACTGGAGCACACACTTGGCTTGCAGGAAACCTTGATACGATCTCCAGCCCCACATGGTCCCCCGAATACTGCAGGAGTAATCCCTGAACTGGAAGGAACTCCTGAGTCCCAAAATTGAGAAAGAAAGAAGGGGGCTAAAATTTCACATCTCTACATGCATGTGCATGTGCATATGTGAATGTATGCATGTGTATACATGTGTGTGCGTGTGTGCATATGTGTGTGTATTTGTGTGTGTATGTGTGTTTGCAGGGCCGCTGCTGTGATGTTGTTGAGTCCTTTCTGAGTTGCATCCTGGCTGCTTGGCTTGTCAAGTGCTTTGAATCTCACACCCTTTTGTAGAATCTCAAACAAATGAGTATTGTTTTACTTCTGTATTTTAGTCACCAAGACTCATTGTAATGTTTAGGCATGGAAGAGAAGATAACAGACGTACACAGATTTGATTTTGATAGTTGCTTGCATGCATTGTCTCAAAATGTCTGTTCATTTGACAGTCTAGAAAGATGATAGTAATATAATCATTGAAATCATTTTTATTCCTAGTTGCACTGACATCTGCTAGGAAATGCTTATAAAGGTTTTCACTGACAAGTTGATTAACATTAATAAACCCTAACTTCCAATTTTATTATCTTCTTAAGCCATATGCTTAAGGTCTTAGGATTTCAAGATCTTCTGATTACCCTAAGCAAATCAAGTATTTAGCATCTTGGATTTATAGACGATGTTAACTTTTGAAAATTATGCTACCTTAGAATATGTCCATAAAAGATTTCCAAAATGTTTGTTTCATGAATATTTCACTTGTTAGGTAACTTAGATCATTTTTTTCTTATAATTTTTCTGCTACTTTTAATTAGCTTTTTAATACCTTTTTTTACATTTATTTATCATTGAAGGAAATTCTTTTTATTTATTTATTTACTTATTTATTTTTATTTTTGGGTCACACCTGGCGGTGCTCAGGGGACCATATGGGATGCTGAGGAATCCCTGGTCGGCCGTGTGCGAGGCAAACGCCCTACCCACTGTGCTATTGATTAGCTTTTTAAAAGCCAGCCCCTTGATTAGCTTTTTAAAACGATCAAATTTTTGGTTTTGGTGGGATCACAGTTAAATTCTCAGTAACTCTTCATGTTGTTTTTGTTCATGTGTGAGGCACACATATGATGTCGATTTGATATCATATATCTCAAATACAGCCAGTTTTTGAGATTACAGCTGATTTGGGCAATTATAGAAGATATTTTGCAACATGACTTATTTAACACCTTGTTGTGGTCTTTGCAAAGCCTAAATTGCCTTTTAGTCATTCATGTATTTATTGATCATCTTTATTTTTAATAAAGATTCTACCCATTGGGACTGAGGCAGGAAATGCTCTGGCCTTGGGTGCCACCAGGGCTACCATGCCCAGTGGTGCTGTGGGTGCATGTGGTTCCAGCGGTAGAATTTGGGGCCTCCTTGCATCTGCTTCACTCCCTGAGTCACATCTTTGGCAACCCCTACTCCCATTTTCCAGCATGGGGGATCAAACCCAGGTCTCATGTGAGCAAATGCACTTTCCCATCATGACTCCTTCCTGACCTTCCTTCTAGCTGCTTTTTACAATTTGTTTTTGCTTTCTTTTTTTATTCTTTTATGCCTTCTTTCGTGCAGGGGTCCACCAGAACTATACCTGTTGGTGCTCAGGAGACCTTGCAATGCAGGACATCGCAAACCTGGTATCCTGTGCATGCCAGGGATGCACACCAGCCCTCTCAGTGATCTCCCAATGATGATCTCCCAATCGTCTCAATGATGATAAGAAGCATCAAGCCTAGATGCTTCTTAAGAAAGCTTGATGGGAGTTGGATAGAGATAGCTCAGTGGGATGGAGTGTATGCCTTGCATGCCAGAGGCCCAGATTGAGTCCCAGAGATAAATGGCCCTTTGAGCACTGTAGGGAATGACCTCCAACACCAAGCCTGGAGTAGCCCTGATCAAAAAGGATGCCCCCTGCCCAAAGACCAAACAGAATTAAAATATTATCCCATGTTTCCTTGCCTAGGTTTTGTCTTTAGGGGCTGCACTAGGGCCATTTTAAGCACTGAATTTGTGCCTTTAGTTCTTGAACACTGATGTGAATTGAGAATATTGGTCATGGGTGGTCAGGAGACCTTAAATCTTAAGATAGTTCAAGGAGAACTTTTGTGGATCACCTGGGTCCAGAGAGGATGTAGGGGGTCTGTCTCAGCTACTGTGTAAGTGAGAGAGCCCTGACCCCCTGAAAACTTTGCCCTTGGCCCTTTCTTTGCTGGACAGCTGGTGACCTCTGGCTCTGCCCTTGTGACAGTGCCTCTCCTTATACCCAATCTTGAATCTAAGTGAAATGAACATGGATCTCCTAAAAGAACTGATAAATTGTGCTTGTGACTTACTTCCCATTACCAAAAAATTTTTCTAGCAACTTACACTCTCAGAAAACTCTGAAAAAAATGTATTTAAATTTAGAGAAGTGTATTCATTTAGGAACTTGGGAATAAAAAACCAAAAAACCAGCAAAACTGGCATCTCTTGAAATTTTTCTAGTGCAGGGTTTGATGTGGGTGTTGTACTTTGAATAAAATTTCCTTAGACATTGGTGCTCCAGCATGAGCTTTATAGGTGAGTCACAAATTTCTGAAGAATGTTCCATTTTAATTTCAGCAATAGATTTCTCTTTAATGGGGAATATAATTACTATAACTTCTTATGTAAATCACTTGCTTTGTGCTTCAATATTTTAACAGAAGCAAGTTAAATGAAATAATTCACAGTAGAAATAAAAAAATGGCATCCTCATATGAAGAGGTAGGGAGATTTCTTTTAAATATATCGGGTTTATTAATATCCATTTTTATTTTCCGTGTATAACTTATGTGATTATAAAAAATAGTACACCTTACTTTAAAATTCACACAAAAGAAGTAATTGAATACAGTTACAATCCTGTTTTTCTTTTTTTAAATTTATAAAATAGTTGGGCTGAAATGATAGCACAGCAGATCCGGTGTTTGCCTTGCACACGGCCGACCTGGGTTTGATTCCTCCGTCCCTCTTGGAGAGCCTGGCAAACTACTGAGAGTATCCCGCCCGCATGGCAAAGCCTGACAAGCTGCCTGTGGTGTATTCGATATGCCAAAAACAGTAACAACAAGTCTCACAATGAAGACGTTACTGGTGCCTGCTCGAGCAAATCAGTAAACAATGGGAGGACAGTGCTACAGTGCTATAAAATATTTATTAAATTTGTGGAAGCTGATAGACTCTTAAAGAGATTCAGGGTCTTAATTTATAGAAAATTCTTAATCACTAAAACCACAAGAGAAACTTCTTAATTTTGTCTTCTCTTCCCACTTCCTTTTCCCTCCCAACTCTTTTGTAGGAAAAGTGCGAGGAATTTCAACTTGCCAATGTGTAAGGCGGCGAGCACCACAGTGGTGGAGGTAAGAGGAGAGGTTGTTTCTCATGTCCTGAAGGGAATTTTTAAATTTGATGTTGGGTCTTAGTTTTCAAAAATATTTGTTAAGTTCATTTGTTTTGTCACAGCCTTTTTGTCGGGACCTGGGAAAATTTGCTTTAAATATATAGTTGTCAAAATTTTGCTACATCATTAGCTTTCTTGCTGGGTGGCTAATTCTTCCTTCTGATCCTCTCTTTGAGCTCAAGCTTTAGGATTAGTCAAACTTACAAATGTCCTTTAGTGCTTGAGTAAACTAAACCTTCTTCAGTGAAATTCTAAGGAGACACTTTGTATACAGAATTCCAGGAAAATAGTGGTATGAGAGAAATTCATTATTTTCTCTTAATAGATGCTGTGAATTCTTGAGGGAAAAAGGTAGTACTAGGAATTCCCATGGCATGATCCTGTTTGAATCAGCTAAATAAAAGCACTGATTTTTTTTTTTTATTTGCGCATCTCAGGTTTTGGGAAAATCTTGCATAATTCTAGAGCCTACCCAGAGATGACATTCTGATACAGAACTTGGTTCTTATACACAAAGCTTGCCATTTTGTTTATGCATGTTTGATACTAAAAAAGAGAGTTAAAGGGTGTGAAGGTCATCTTAAAATTGGAATCCTGTTTGAGTTTGAGATCACTTTGAGATCCTTTAGAAGGGTCTTTAGGAATCCAGTCTGGGAAGGAGAGCATATGTCCTTGACGTTTTTCATGATGGAAGGGTTGCGCATTGCATCATGCAATCACTCTAGTTCAGCACTCTGCAACCTTACTATGCTGTGTGTGGGTGAGTGAGAATCACTGCTCTAGACGCATGATCAGGACTGCATTTCAGGAGGTAGTTCAGTGGTGTTTCCGTAATGGTTCAAATGCCTTGGGCAGTAAAGTGTATTATTGTTTTTGGTTTGTGGCCCACTCTATTGTGGCTCTTTGCTTGGGAGTGACCCCTGGTGGTGCTCAGTGAACCATATGGGGTGATGGAGATGGAACTGGGTGGGATTGGCTGTGAGCACAGTAAGATAGTACCTCCTGTACTCTGTCTCTGGCTTCCCCTGGGTGTGTAGGGGGGAACCTTGTACAGTTTTGAAAAATGTCTATCAAATCATCCTTATTCTCTGTGCATGACACATATTTAACATAACTAAAGAAAAACAATCTATAGCTTAAAATGATTTTATGGACTCCATAAAACTTCCACAGACTAGTAATTCTTTGAGAACCACGGGGCCTTATGCATCCTCTGGGGTACACTGTTTGTTCCCCCTTTGTTCCTTTATAATCTGATTCTTTTAGCTATAAATCTTATTCTGAGAGCAGAAAATGACCCTCTGGTGCCTGACGATCGATGCAGTTGTAAGAAAGGATAGTTGGGTGGGAGAGATGCACAAGGATGAAGGCATCTGGCAGGTGACCACCTGGGGTCATCCCTGCCCAGCACAGTTCCTTCCTTAGCACCGCATCCCTGGGAAGGAGACCAGGCAAATACAGGTGAGTCTCTTTGCTGGCGTTAGTGAAGCCGAGATAAAAATCTTTTCACTGAGGCTGCAAACGTGCTCACGGCTGTCCTCCCTCATCCAAGAATGGGCCTCTGTGATCTCTCACAGCGCTTTGATATTAGAGCCAGATGCCCCTTAGGGGTCTTTGCCATCTCGGACTGCAAATGCCATTCCCAGCTGACTGTCTGATGAGCCCTGGGAGCCCCCAGCCTCATGTGACTTTTAAAACTTGAATTAAATAGACAATTCGGTTTCTCTGAACTAGCCTCATGTGGCTGGGGACTGCTGTGTTGATTAGCATAGATATGACCTTATCATGGGATATGTAACATTGTCATCCCTGTAGAGAGTCTTATTAGACCAAGCTTAATTAGAAGAATCAAGATGAAAACTAATTTGTCATTTTAATTTAGGAATAGAAGCAGGAGAGCTTCTAGTGAATCATAGGAACTCTGCGCTCACAAATGAGAAATGACTGGGAATTGGGAAAGGCACCACGTTGGGTGCTTTCTGAGACACAAAATCTATTTTGATTATGGTTTCAGTAATGGAGTTACTATAGTGCTAGCGTTTATGGTTTTGCTATACAAAGCTACTATACCCCACTACCACCAGTGTGCCCAAGACCCTCCTGCCAATGTCCAAAGGAGAAAAGAGAGAAAGAGAAAATCTTTCTTTGAATTTATATTATTCTGAGTCTAGTGAGTGCCTTGGGCCATCAGCTCTTCTTTGCCACATTCTGTGCGTCCTGGCACCTGCGGGGGCCCCTGCTTCCCTGCTTCAGCCCCGCCTGCTTTATTTTCTGACAGACTTTAACGAGATGATTGGGAACTGATCTCTGAAGTCTGGCATTTAGCAGGAGTCTTGAGAGAGCAGACATTATTTTCGTATGCCTGCTAATTATTAATAATAATACTAGCTGCCGTTATTCTTATATATGAGTTACTGTTGTTTTTTAAAAAAATATGCATTATTTTTATTATTTTTCTTGGCATGGGGGAGCTCTTAAGCAGTGCTGGGGATGGGGGTCTGGAGTCCCCCAGTGATTCTCGGCTAACCAGGCTGGTGATTCAGTCCCGTCTGTGGGTGCTGCCCTGGGCCCTACCACGCTAGGGATGACCCCTGGACACCCCAGAGGTGCCTAGGGATCTTCAGGGCTGCATCTTGTGCTGCTCAGGGGATCCAGCTGGGGTCTGCTGTATGCCAGGCGTGTGCCCGAATGCCTGTAGGATTGCTCTGACCCCTCCATTTCTGTTTTTTAATCCTCACAGTAGGCTCTTGAGAAAGGGAACGTTCTCCTTATTTTTGGGATGTGGACTTGAGAGCACAAGGAACAGGGGCCTGAGTGAGAGCATGGGGGCGGTGGGGCGGTGGACGGGGGCGGGTAGGCACTTGCCTTGCATGTTGCTGATCCTGGTTCCATCCTTGGCGCCCCATGTGGTCCCCTGAAGCACTGCCAGGAGTGATTCTTGAGCACAGAAGACAGGAGTAAACCTCCAGCAGAACCGGATCTGACCCAGAAAGTAGCACTGCACTGTAGCACTATTGTCCCGTTGTTCATTGATTTGCTTGAGCAGGCACCAGTAATGTCTCCATTTGTCCCTGTCACGTGCTAGTGTAGCCCAATGGTATCTGCTTGCTCCAGGAACATGAAGTGAGACTTGTTGTTACTGTTTTTGGCATATCAAATACGTCACGGGTAGCTTGTGGGTGGGATACTCTCGATAGCTTGCATGCCTCTCTGAGAGGGACGGAGGAATCGAAACCCAGGTCAGCCACATACAAGGCAAATGCCCTATCTGCTGTGCTATTGCTCCAGCCCAACCCAGAAAGTAAAACAAACAAACAAAAAAAGTATGAAGAAGTGAAAATATATGCCTGATGTCATGCACCTAGGTGGAGCTAAGGTCGAGCATGGAAAAGACCAGTGGGCCCGAGCATCTGAGCGACAGTATAGCTTGCCTAGCACGTGGCCCACCCAGGTTCGATCCCCTGGATCCATAATAGTCAGTCCCTCAAGCACCTCCAGGAGTAATTCCTGAGTGCAGAGCCAGGAGTAATATCTGAGCATTTCTGGGTATGACCTGAACAGAGAGAGGGAGGGAGGGAGAGAGAGAGAGAGAGAGAGAGAGAGAGAGAGAGAGAGAGAGAGAGAGAGAGAGAGACAGAGAGAGAGAGAGACAGAGAGAGACAGAGAGACAGAGAGAGAGACAGAGAGAGAGGGAGAAAGGAAAGGGGGCCTTCCATTATTTTATAGCAAACTCCCAAGTCATCATAAAAAGGTGATGTTTCAAACTCTGGAGAGATAGCCTTTGAAAGTAGCCCACTTCAGTGTTAACTATTAGAATCCAACAGAGAATGTTACCAAAAATGTCTTTATTTGTAAATTCCTCTCTCTCTCCATGGCTTCCCTTGCCTGTTACCGTAGTCCCTGAGAAGGCCCAGCAGGCCCGCGCTGCTTTTGTCTCCTTGGGGCTCAGGCCGCTCTGTTGTGTGTTCTGCTCGAAACTCGCCATGTCCCACAAATGTTCCTACACGTAGTGATGGAATGTCTGTCCTGGCTCAGCATTGCACTAAGAAGCAGGAACCTGAATAGTGACTGACAGAGTTTCTGACAAAGGCTTTTTGAAGGAAATTGTAGCTGATCTCCTTTCTCTGAGGTGGGAGAAATTGGGGACTTGAGGGGCCATGTGCTTAGGTTCTTCCTTACCTGGAGCTGTAAAGAGAGTAGAATTCTAGATATCTAAACCATGGATGATGAGTCCCTCAGATATCTTCAATATTTTCTTTATCTCAGAGGGTCTGGCAACGCAGTATACAATTGGTCTCTTGCTGTCTCTGTTTCTAACTTCTTCTCTATTTAATTCAGAGTTAATGTTTCCTGCCAAGAAACAAGATGAGTATGTTTATCTTAGACTAAAGAGGAAACAAATTTTCTGTTAATATGGATTATTTTTGGTTTCTGCAAATGGGGGTACATGTCCTTTTTGGAAAAGTTTTTTCTTTTACACCAACATCAGGGTATAACCAATGAGTTGATAAATTTGATCTCGGTTTCCTCCTCAACTAAACCAGTATGCCAGTATGAATGTTGCCTCCCTCCCTCCCTCCCTCCCTTCCTTCCTCAGAGGGTACTTCTGTTGAGGGACCATATGGTGCTGGGGATTGAACCTGAGTCGGGCAAGCACTTACCTGCGGTACTGTGTCTGGCCCCTTGCCTTTCTTAAAATGCAGCCAGTTGCATGTTGTAGCATAAAGTTGTGTCCATGTGAATTCAGGCTCACTTCTTAAGAAACGGGGCAGTTACTGGGAAAAGGAACACCAGTGGGGGCACATATTGGTACACTTTCCGAAGAGATGTTTTTCGTTTTATCCCAGGCAGGGTTATTGCTGGACAATCTCCCTCCCCATCCTCCCCCTGCCACCCCAAGTGGGCTAAATCTTCCTTGATCAACCGCACAGATGGAAGTGGAAAGGCAGCCTGGCAGTG